ATGGAAGGTGATGACCCCAGTAATGTGTCATACTGTTTTTATGGCGACATAAATGTTATGTGTTTTCATTGTGACTTGTCATGACGATACAAATGGCGGTGGATACGATAAGATTGTTATTATTTTTTTAAATATGCATTTGATTTTAATTAAAAAAGGAAGAGTTGTTTTCCATGTGTTATACAGTAATAGTTTGGATGGAATTTAAAAGGTATTTGAAAGGAAAGCAGTAGCTATTGTCTGTCACAAGGCTCACCTTAGATTCTGGAGTTCACAGTGCCAAGCCCTGTACTGTGTTCTGTCCCATCACTAAAATGCAAGATTATGAGCGATCCAATTTGACATCTCAAAGGTTGATTTGGCAATGCTGATGATAAATGATACTTTGAAAATCCAGAATTGAAAAAAGTCACTGACCAAAACCCATTACTACTGTGGCTAATAACGTCTGTTTCGTGTTTACCTGATGACTGTTACCCTCTGTATGTTCCTCTCACCCTCAACTATCAGTTTTATTCTTTAAAAAAAATCTGTTTTATTGCTAAATCAGATGGAATGTTTATGCTGCATGTATTATTGGTTGAAGAAGCACACCAGTGATCACAATCTATTACAGTCTGACTTTTCCACTTAGTTTTTGAGGTGGACACAGTCGGGTCGGGGCCTGTTCCAACCCAAGGGAACACTTTTGGTTGCCTTGCAGTTTTTCTCACTTGCAGAGGGTTTAAAATGTTGAGGGGTGGCCTGTATTGTAGGTGGAGTAGTTAGTAGTTTTGTCTGTCTGTTTGATTTTCTGTGTCTCTGCATGTAATTTCCTGCAAGTTTACGTGAATGTATATTTTTTAACTTGTTCTTTTCTGAGTTGCTATATGTGTTTTTTGTTGTTTTATGATGTTGGTTTGTTTGCAAATAAAACAATGAAAATCATGTTTAAGTTGACGTTTGCTTTTTAATTTCACAGTTACATTTGTGGCGTACATCACAGGCTTCTTTTTGAGATATAAGGGCACCCTTGGTAAAAGTAAGCTTGCTGTTACCATGGCACTATCTGGCTGTATGAACTCCTAACAAGTCGCAGTGGTAACACAGTATTCTGGGTTTGAGATGCCATATTATAATATAATAATAATATGCCATTTAGCAGACGCTTTTATCCAAAGCGACTTACAGTCATGTGCGCATACATTTTTACACATGGGTGGTCCCGGGGATTGAACCCACTACCCTGGCGTTACAAGCGCCATGCTCTACCAATTGAGCTACAGAGGACCACATTAGGACCATATTAATGGGACTTGAGTAATGAATACACTTTATTGGTATGAATGCCTGAAAGTGATACTTCTTTTGTGCATTTATCTTTTGATGATGTATTTTTATAAAACAATGCTTTTATTTAGATTCTGGAGGTACTGTAGAAACATAATTTCACTATATATACACTGAGTATACAAAACATTAAGAACACCTGCTCTTTCCATGTGAATCCAGGTGAAAGCTATGATCTCTTATTGATATCACCTGTTAAATCCACTTAAATCAGTGTAGATGAAGGGGAGGAGACAGGTTGAATAAGGTTTTTTTTTTTTTTTCCTCATCAATCTACACACAATACCCCATAATGATAAAGCAAAAACCGTTTTTTTGAAATATTTGCATATTTATTAAAAATTAAAATACACGTTTATATACAGTACCAGTCAAAAGTTTGGACACCTACTCATTCAAGGGTTTTTCTTTATTTTTACTATTTTCTACATTGTAGAATAATAGTGAAGACATCAAACTACGAAATAACACATTGAATCATGTAGTAACCAAAAAGGTGTTAAACAAATCAAAATATATTTTATATTTGAGATTCTTTAAAGTAGCCACCCTTTGCCTTGATGACAGCTTTGCACACTTGGCATTCTCTCAACCAGCTTCACCTGGAATGCTTTTCCAACAGTCTTAAAGGAGTTCCCACATATGCTGAGCCCTTGTTGGCTGCTTTTCCTTCACTCTGCCGTCCGACTCATCCCAAACCATCTCAATTGGGTTGAGGTCGGGGGATTGTGGAGGCCAGGTCATCTGATGCAACACTCAATCACTCTCCTTCTTTATGAAAATATCCCTACCACAGCCTGGAGGTTTTGGTCATTGTCCTGTTGAAAAACTAATGATAGGCCCACTAAGCCCAAACCAGATGGGATGGCGTATTGCTGCAGAATGCTGTGGTAGCCATGCTGGTTAATAGTGCCTTGAATTCTAAATAAAACACAGACAGTGTCACCAGCAAAGCACCACCACACCTCCTCCTCCATGCTTTACGGTGGCAACTACACATGCGGACATCATCCATTCACCCACACCGCGTCTCACAAAGACACGGCGGTTGGGACCAAAAATCTCAAATTTTGACTGGTCTAATGTTTCTTGGCCCAAGCAGGTCTCTTCTTCTTATTGGTGTCCTTTTAGTAGTGATTTCTTTGCAGCAATTTAACCATGAAGGCTTGATTCACACAGTCCCCTCTGAACAGCTGATGTTGAGATGTGTCTGTTACTTGAAGCATTTATTTGGGCTGCAATTTCTGAGGCTGGTAACTCGAATGAACTTATCCTCTGCAGCAGAGGTAACTCTGGGTTTTCCATTCCTGTGGCGGTCCACATGAGAGCCCGTTTCATCATAGCGCTTGATGGTTTTTGCGACTACACTTGAAGAAACTTTCAAAGTTCTTGACATTTTCCGTATTGACTGACCTTCATGTCTTGAAGTAATGATGGACTGTCGTTTCTCTTTGCTTATTTGAGCTGTTCTTGCCATAATGTGGACTTGGTCTTTTACCAAATAGGGCTATCTTCTGTATACGCCCCTACCTTGTCACAACACAACTGATTAGCTCAAACGCATTAAGAAGGAAATAAATTCCACAAATTAACTTTTAAGAAGGCACACCTGTTAATTGAAATGCATTCAAGGTGACTACCTCATTACATTTTAGTAGACGCTCTTATCCAGAGCGACTTACAGGAGCAATGCTCAAGGGCACAGTCAGATTTTTCACCTAGTCGGCTCGGGGATTAGAACCAGCGACCTTTCGGTTACTGGCACAATGCTCTTAACCACTAAGCTACCTGCCGCCACCTACCTCATGAAGCTGGTTGAGAGAATGCCAAGAGTGTGCAAAGCTGCCATCAAGGTAAAGGGTGGCTATTTGAAGAATCTCAAATATAAAATATATTTTGATTTGTTTAACACTTTTTTGGTTACTACATGATTGCAAACGTGTTATTTCATAGTTTTGATGTCTTCACTATTATTCTACAATGTAAAAAATAGTAAAAATTAAGAAAAACCCTTGAATGAGAACGTGTATCCAAACTTTTGACTGGTAGACCTGCTGGAGGGCATCCTCCCTACCTCCGTCCCTAGTCTGGGGCTGCACAGAGCGGTGAGACAGACAAGGCTGTTACCTGAAGGGACGGACCAGCATTCCAAAATAAGACTTCAAGACTTCAATAAATACCACCACACGTTACCACACTACCACATAGGGTTGGGGTCAATTCCATTTCGATTCAGGAAGGATTCTCACATTTTCCTCAATACCTATGGTCCTCTGTAGCTCAATTGGTAGAGCATGGCACTTGTAATGTCAGGGTAGTGGGTTCGATCCCCGGGACAACCCATACGTAAAAATGTATGCACACATGACTGTAAGTCGCTTTGGATAAAAGCGTCTGCTAAATGGCATATTATTATTATTATGAACATTTTGGGTCTTTTCAGTCTACTTCCTGAATTGACAATGGCGAACGTGTATAAAGATGGCAGAATTCAGATATCACGTCATTGTTTTAGCACTATCCACTGACTGTTTAAACTACGGCTTGTGACATGGTTCAATGTACCAATAAATCAGCACAAGCTACTTTTTCAATTTTTCAAATTGCCGGCATCTTGAAGCGAAAATGGGAATCGTGTATACTTAGCTAATGACCATATAAAAAAAGAGTAACGGAGAGCAATGTACAGTACAGTACGGCGAACTTAGCAAAACAAGGAATTTGTGGTTTATGCACCTCTGCTATTGAAATGGAATTGACCCCAACCTTGTTACCACACATTTATAGTGGTTATCTTCTCTCACAAAAGCCTCCATACACACCCCTGTTCAGTGGACATTATCTGATTTAGCGTGTCACACAAGCTTGATTGTTTGGCCGTGTGTCTCTGAGATACTGTTGTGGGGGCAGGTGTCTGCTGCAGCTCCACCAATGATTAACTCTAAGACAGCTTCCTTTATTCAGAAACAGTCAACACCCTCGAGGCTTAAACGCTTGATAATGAGTTTTGCGACATTTATAGTGTTTACCTTCATGAGGAAGGTGCACTGTGTGCGATTAACACCTTGTGAGTTCACCGTTTGATTCTCTCTGTAAGAGTCGAGGTTGAGCAACACCTGTTGCCCTGCGCACAACCTTTTAAGACAAGATAAAGAAACATACCCTTTTTCACCTCCTGTGGGATTGTGGGAAACTACATTGGCTGGCATTAAAAATATGTATATACAACAGAGCAACAGCAAATCTAGATCTCTTTTCAATTCGAATCACAGTACAGATGGTTCAGACGGGGCGATGAAAGGCCTGGCGTGCATTATTAGACTCGCTCAGCTTTTTGTAAACACAGAGAATTATTTCCATCATTCATTTGGAAAAGTGAATGATCATCTCTGGGAGATTTGACTTTGTGTAGCAGCTGCAGCACAGCCTCTCCTGGACAAGCGTTAGCATGTTGAGTGAATGGCATGGCTACAGGGAGAATTAGACCAGGGTTAGAACTTTATGAAATGCTCTTTGATAGTGCACTATGGTATTTGTATGGTGAGTTTTTCCACAGTAGGATTGCACAATTCCTGTAACTTTCCCAAGATTCCCAGGTTTCCAGAAATCCTGCTTGGAGATGTCCGGACAACCTGGGAATTTTGGGAATGTTACAGGAATTTTGCAACACTTTTCCACAGTCTGGGCCCAAACCTTTTCCTGTATTTTCCTCCAATCGTCCTCCTGCGGCTCCGAGACGTGCTCTCTCTCAAACTGATGGAACACTCTTCTGCTTGATGACACAACTGGTCGATATCATTCAGGAAAGCCTCAACATCTGTGTGGCAGTATTGGACAAAGCTGTCATTCAACTCCTGCAACTAATTGGAAACAATTTAGTTATACAAAGGGGCATCCTTCAATTGGACACCAAATAGAGTTCTGTTTTTATCTCAGATAATTGCTGCTACATTTTAATGCTTGAAGCCTGCTGACAAAGTCAAGTTGCTAAACAGGTCAGATTTATACCGGCATGTCTCTGACTTACATGTTACATTTATGGAAACCAGTAAAAAGATAGCTGGTGCTGGGAAACATACACACACACGCCATCCCTCAGGCTGCCCCACCCAGCTCGCTCCTGTCACAGTGACATCACAAGTGCTTTATTGCTGGGCTTTTATCACGAATTAAACAACTGTTAACCATTCAGATTAGGTTTTATGGGCTGACTTTTCTACAGCGAAGGCAAAAAACATGGACCCTGGTAAACTTTGCCTTGTCTCACTGCAGACGCAGAGGACAGGAAAAGGGATGGAGCGAGGGATGGGGGCAGAGAAAGGGGGTAGGGGGTGCCGCGTTATCTCACTGCATCCATTTTGATGTCACCAGTTATCCTCCTTAATGTGTTGACTTAGGGTCAGACGTCAAAAAGGTACAAATGGAAAGCTGGTCATCGCAATCAGCTGATAAGAATGTGAAAACTGGTAGAATGTCTTAAAGGCTTTGCTGCCTGGGAGCAACTGCAGCTGTACCATGAGGATGACAGAATATTCTGAGATAGAGTAGGACATCCTCCATTACCCAAATTACACCCTATTCCCTATGTAGTGCAATACTTTTGACCAGGGCCTATGGGGCTCTGGTCAAAAGTAGTGCACTAAATAGGGAATAGGGTGCCATTTGGGACTCAACCTGTCTCTGTGTAATGGAGGATGTCCTACTCTATCTCAGAATCTTCTAGGAGCCGCCAATTCCCATCCTTGACGTGGCCGTCACTGGCACCAGGATGGGATCCTGGACGGGGCTAATGAGTTCCAACAGAGTTAATGAGACCAATAAAATGGCTGCTCTGTGTTTACATGACATTCTAAGGCAGGGTTTATAGGTGATGGAGGATGAGAAAAGGGGATTGTGGGTAGTAACTCCGACCTCTCCGAGTGCATTACAAGTTGGGCGTAATCAAGGTGTCATCGGTTTCTCTGAACGCATAGAGGCACTCTGATTGATTACATAGAGCCCTAGAGAGAGAAGTGACGGCCACGTCAAGGATTGGCGGCTCCTAGAGGATTCTGGGATAGAGTAGGACATCTTCCATCCCACAGAGACAGGCTAAGCCCCAAATGGCACCCTATTCCCTATTTAGTACACTACTTTTGACCAGAGCCCTATAGGGGTGCATTTGGGACACATCCCAAAGCTCACACGACAAATATACCAGTAAAATCAGTATATGTGCTACTCAAGTTTTAGCTTGTCTGTTTGATGGAAAAATGGCATAGCTAGTGAACAACTGTGCCGACTGGTAAAGATCTAACCAAATGTAGTGAAAAGCTCAATAGTAGCCATGGTCAGTGTTTTCTATTCAGCCCTGTCTCTGCAAACCTCTACAAACCAGCACTCCAGTCAGAGGTAAGTAAGTACAATGGAGGGGGAGATTTCAGTCTCACTAGGTGGCAATCTTCCCTTTTCCAGGGAGCCACAGACTAGAGAAGGCAGAGAGGCCTTAGTGTCGATAAGCCCCCGTCCAGTTGCTAGAACCCACAACCAGCCAGCCAAAGCTGAAAGGACTAACCCTTTAGAATGTGTATTCTGTCCTCAGACCAAAGTGAAATCCAATGGAATATTTTCGTTCTTAAAGTGGGACAGTGAAGAAAGCCAATGCAAATGACAACCAGGGAACCTGCCCCCGATATGCCTTGGGGGAAAACACACAGACAAACACTTGCTTTTGTGTTGACCCTGGAATGTCCAGACTGTTTGACCAAAACACACACTCTCCGTAATTAGTTTACAAACAGTGTATGATTCACATGGCATCAAAGGCCCTCTGGAGCTGCTTAGAGAGTTCAGTTCCCCCCTACTCGGCCCTCCACCTCCACTGAGGCCCATGTCCACTCCACACTGACCTGTGATCAGATCTGCTGTCTGTCCATCAATCACAGCAACCTAAAGTCCACCACTGCTAAATAGGTGAGGAATGTCTGGCGGGTGAGTTTCAGGAAGAATGCTGACTTAGGATGCATCCCAAATGGCACCATATTACTTTTATAGTGCACTACTTTTGACCAGGACCCATAGAGCTCTGATCAAAAGCAGTGCACTACATATATAGGGAATAGGGTGCCATTTGCGACGCATACTTATAGGAGCATGGAAAGCCTCAGCGATGTGACCTGGTGGTCACCAGTGGACCGACTCACCAGATAAGAGCACATGTTTTGAGCCGTCATGGCATTGTTCAGTATATAGTAGGGTCGTTCAACGAAATGAGTGCCTTTTGTGTCACTTTGATAATTTAAGAGAAATTGTGCACCAGAACTGAATTTTAAAAGCCTGTTATATTAAATGAAGTGCCCTTTAATTTAGACCACATGGAGAATTCAATGTCAGCTTTTTAATATGAATAAAGGCTTGCTAAATTTCATGGATTTCTGGTCTCATACTGCTCCTTCCTGCACAGAGGACAGCACTTCCTACCTGAAAACCTCTCAAAGGCCTGCATGCAGGCTCTGTGAAACACATGGGAACAGGACATCAAAACCTAGACACAATATGAACATCATTAGTGTTGATTGTTGAATATTATACACACAATTATAAATTATAATCACACATATACAGTGGGGGAAAAAAGTATTTAGTCAGCCACCAATTGTGCAAGTTCTCCCACTTAAAAAGATGAGAGAGCCCTGTAATTTTCATCATAGGTACACGTCAACTATGACAGACAAAATGAGATGTTTTTTTCCAGAAAATCACATTGTAGGATTTTTAATGAATTTATTTGCAAATTATGGTGGAAAATAAGTATTTGGTCACCTACAAACAAGCAAGATTTCTGGCTCTCACAGACCTGTAACTTCTTCTTTAAGAGGCTCCTCTGTCCTCCACTCGTTACCTGTATTAATGGCACCTGTTTGAACTTGTTATCAGTATAAAAGACACCTGTCCACAACCTCAAACAGTCACACTCCAAACTCCACTATGGCCAAGACCAAAGAGCTGTCAAAGGACACCAGAAACAAAATTGTAGACCTGCACCAGGATGGGAAGACTGACTCTGCAATAGGTAAGCAGCTTGGTTTGAAGAAATCAACTGTGGGAGCAATTATTAGGAAATGGAAGACATACAAGACCACTGATAATCTCCCTCGATCTGGGGCTCCACGCAAGATCTCACCCCGTGGGGTCAAAATGACCACAAGAACGGTGAGCAAAAATCCCAGAACCACACGGGGGGACCTAGTGAATGACCTGCAGAGAGCTGGGACCAAAGTAACAAAGCCTACCATCAGTAACACACTACGCCGCCAGGGACTCAAATCCTGCAGTGCCAGACGTGTCCCCCTGCTTAAGCCAGTACATATCCAGGCCCGTCTGAAGTTTGCTAGAGTGCATTTGGATGATCCAGAAGAGGATTGGGAGAATGTCATATGGTCAGATGAAACCAAAATAGAACTTTTTGGTAAAAACTCAACTCGTCGTGTTTGGAGGACAAAGAATGCTCAGTTGCATCCAAAGAACACCATACCTACTGTGAAGCATGGGGGTGGAAACATCATGCTTTGGGGTTGTTTTTCTGCAAAGGGACCAGGACGACTGATCCGTGTAAAGGAAAGAATGAATGGGGCCATGTATCGTGAGATTTTGAGTGAAAACCTCCTTCCATCAGCAAGGGCATTGAAGATGAAACGTGGCTGGGTCTTTCAGCATGACAATGATCCCAAACACACCGCCCGGGCAACGAAGGAGTGGCTTCGTAAGAAGCATTTCAAGGTCCTGGAGTGGCCTAGCCAGTCTCCAGATCTCAACCCCATAGAAAATCTTTGGAGGGAGTTGAAAGTCCGTGTTGCCCAGCGACAGCCCCAAAACATCACTGCTCTAGAGGAGATCTGCATTGGGGAATGGGCCAAAATACCAGCAACAGTGTGTGAAAACCTTGTGAAGACATACAGAAAACGTTTGACCTGTGTCATTGCCAACAAAGGGTATATAACAAAGTATTGAGAAACTTTTGTTATTGACCAAATACTTATTTTCCACCATAATTTGCAAATAAATTCATTAAAAATCCTACAATGTGATTTTCTGGATTTTTTTCCCTCAATTTGACTGTCATAGTTGACATGTACCTATGATGAAAATTACAGGCCTCTCTCATCTTTTTAAGTGGGAGAACTTGCACAATTGGTGGCTGACTAAATACTTTTTTCCCCCCACTGTACACTTGAAGTCGGAAGTTTACATACACCTTAGCCAAATACATTTAAACTAAATTTTCACAATTCCTGACATTTAATCCTAGAAAAAATTCCCTGTCTTAGGTCAGTTAGGATCACCACTTTATTTTAAGAATGTGAAATGTCAGAATAATAGTAGAGAGAATGATTTATTTCATCTTATATTTCTTTCATCACATTCCCAGTGGGTCAGAAGTTTACATACACTCAATTAGTATTTGGTAGCATTGCCTTTAAATTGTTTAACTTGGGTCAAACGTTTCGGGTAGCCTTCCACAAACTTCCCACAATAAGTTGGGTACATTTTGGCCCATTCCTCCTGACAGAGTCAGGTTTGTAGGCCATTTTGCCACAACTTTGGAAGTATGCTTGGGGTCATTGTTTATTTGGAAGACCCATTTGCGACCAAGCTTTAACTTCCTGACTGATGTCTTGAGATGTTGCTTCAATATATCTACATAATTTTCCTTCCTCGTGATGCCATCTATTTTGTGAAGTGCACCAGTCCCCCCTGCAGCAAAGCACCCCAACAGCATGATGCTGCCACCCTCGTGCTTCACGGTTGGGATGGTGTTCTTCGGCTTGCAAGCCACCCCCTTTCTCCTCAAAACATAACGATGGTCATTATTGCCAAACAATTCTATTATTGTTTCATCAGACCAGAGGACATTTCTCCAAAAAGTACGATCTTTGTCCCTATGTGCAGTTGCAAACCGTACTCTGGCTTTTTTATGGCGGTTTTGGAGCAGTGGCTTCTTCCTTGCTGAGCGGCCTTTCAGGTTATGTCGATATAGGACTTGTTTTACTGTGGATATAGATACTTTTGTACCTGTTTCCTCCAGCATCTTCACAAGGTCCTTTGCTGTTGTTCTGGGATTGATTTGCACTTTTCACACCAAAGTACGTTCATCTCTAGGAGACAGAATGCGTCTCCTTCCTGAGCGGTATGACGGCTGTGTGGTCCCATGGTGTTTATACTTGCGTACTATTGTTTGTACAGATGAACGTGGTACCTTCAGGCGTTTGGAAATTGTTCCCAAGGATGAGCCAGACTTGTGGAGGTCTACAATTATTTTTCTGAGGTCTTGGCTGATTTCTTCAGATTTTCCCATGATGTCAAGCAAAGAGGCACTGAGTTTGAAGGTAGGCCTTGAAATACATCAGCAGGTACACCTCCAATTGACTCAAATTATGTCAATTAGGCTATCAGAAGTTCTAAAGCCATGACATCATTTTCTGGAATTTTCCAAGCTGTTTAAAGGCACAGTCAACTTAGTGTATGTACACTTCTGACCCACTGGAATTGTGATACAGTGAATTATAAGTGAAATAATCTGTCTGTAAACAATTGTTGGAAAAATTACTTGTCTCATGCACAAAGTAGATGTCCTAACCGACTTGCCAAAACTATAGTTTGTTAACAAGAAATTTGTGGAGTGGTTGAAAAACGAGTTTTAATGACTCCAGCCTAAGTGTATGTAAACTTCCGACTTCAACTGTATATATATATATACAGTACCAGTCAAAAGTTTGGACACACCTACTCATTCAAGGGTTTTTCTTTATTTTTTACTATTTTCTACATTGTAGAATAATAGTGAAGACATCAAAACTATGAAATAACACATATGGAATCATGTAGTAACCAAAAAAGATTTGTTTAACACGTTTTTGGTTACTACATGATTCCATATGTGTTATTTCATAGTTTTGATGTCTTCACCATTATCATACAAAGTAAAAAATAGTACAAATGAAGAAAAACCCTTGAATGAGTAGGTGTGTCTAAACATTTGACTGGTAGTGTATATATATATATATATATATAGTTATATTTAAATGAATCAGCTTCAGCCTTATAACTAGATCTGATTTCTGGTTTGTTTGTTTGGTCAGGCTCTCTTATCCATCTGAAATACCCTCTGCATTTTACCGATTGAATGACTTTTGAAATGATTGTGGCATGCAGAGCCTCCTGGGGATGCTGGTTTATATGTATAGTTTTCCACATCTCTCTAAGTGTTTCTGGTGAGCCCTGTGAGAGATGTGTGTGTGTATGTGCACGTGTGTGAGTGTGTGTGCTATTTCTCAGGGCAGCAGTGGGAGCGCTGGGACCTGGGACTGCAGTCTCCTCTCCTCTGCTCCACCTGCCACAGACTCTTTTGTCGTCTGATCTCAGAAGGAGAGTGAGGAGACAGTAGCTCCAGCTGTGGGGCTTGGCACACACAAACCAGTGTACTCTGAGCTCTGGAGGGCAGGGGAGCCATATTCATTTCCCATTGTTTTTGGCCTGACCAACTTCCTCTATCACCAGTGAAAGGGCCACCTGCAGTGCACAGTCTATATCTAGAAGCTCGACAAGCCATTAGATCGGAGTGATTTTAGCTCTTTCAAGCAAAGGCTGCTTTACACTTCAAGTTATAAGCTTCACCAAGAGAGGCTGAATATCGAAGACTGAGAGACAGAGTTGCATTCGTGACGTCTAGAGTTGATAAGCCACTTCTGAATGTTTTTACATGGTATAGCCTGTAGTTGGTGTTAGTATAGTGTTAAATAGCTGAAAGCATAATCAGCAATAATTTATGTTGTATGAAAGAAGGAAACATAAATGATTTAGGCCTGCAAAAATGTCTGAGCATCTTAGAATACAGGAAATAAGACCATTTCAAATAATTGCACTGTTTCACTAATAACAAACCCATCTAACATGTTTTTGTCAAACACATCAACAAGTCAACAAAGATTCACTTTTGTCACTTTCCCTTGTTAGCAGGCTCTAATTACCTTTTTTCCTCGAGTCAAACTAATATTTACACGGGCATGTATGGCAACTGTGCTTTGTCAAGCAGTCTATTCTACCCCGCATTCTTGAGATTGGCATCTTAAAAGGGGATCAGAAAGATGTAAGACTGAATGACCCTCACAGTAACACACTGATTGCTACATCATCGTGTCACAGTTGAGTTCCAAGGCAGTATGGGGTAAATTTGTACAGTTGTCTACACAGATTAGAACATACAGGAACCAGAGGGAAGGGTAGAGAGGGTGTTGGGGAAGGGGAGTGGGGGAGAGTGGGCTGCCCTAGGGGAGGGTGAGGAACCTTGAAAACGTTCAAAAAGAGCCTCTGACTGAGTCTGCCTGAGAAAAAACACCAGGTATTGTGTACGGAGGAATACCTGAGTCTGTAGGCGAAACTCCTCCCTGCAGATCACACAGGGCTGATTGGAGTCTCCCTTGTGAACAGACCTCTTCTTGACCCGACTCCATTCATCCACCATCAGTCTCCTGGCCGGGGATTCCACCAAAACCAATTTCTGGGCTGGAGAGGTAGACAACAGCACAATATAATAATATGCCATTTATCAGACGCTTTTATCCAAAGCGACTTACAGTCATGTGTGCATACATTTTTACATATGGGTGGTCCCGGGGATTGAACCCACTACCCTGGCGTTACAAGCGCCATGCTCTACCAATTGAGCTACAGAGGACCACTATATATCAAACAGCAAGTAAAAAATGTAATAGCTCAGCAGTAGCCTAAGCACCAAAATGCAGATTTGATTTCACAATGAGACTTTCTAGATCCCGAAGTGTTGAACTAGTTCCCCAGTTCCCTACAGACTACTGTAAAATACATTTAATTGATTGATAGATTTTTTTGCCTACTTAGCACATACTGTTTTACCTCTGGTCCAATGTGTTGCTGGGGAATGTGAGGACCTTTCTGTTTCACAGTTCCTTTCACATGGTTTATTTTGCAGTGGGTGTCTGTGGAGGCTCTTCTGCAACATCTTGTCTTCACAGGGTCACACAGTGACAAATTCTGAACAGCAAGTTTTATATGATATGGTCTTGAAGAGCAACTGTGGCGATTGCTAACTTGCCACTGGTTGCTTTTTGAGTTCAAGCCCTGTAAAATGAGAGAAAACTCTATTTAACTGTGATAGTGAAGTTTGCATCTATTTTAGAATGAATTAATAAGACAAACATTTTTTTGGGTTTTCACAAAGCCTAATTTAGTATCTTTGCATTAATATAAAGACTTATCAAATCTGACATTTGATGTGGAAATGTGCACACGTAGAAAAAGTATTTAGCAAAATAGGACATGCATCTGTTTTGTTACTTTACAAATAAATGTCTCTCATAGTTGGACCCCAAATCGTACATTAATACATTGTCTATGTCTATGACAAATGCACTTTATTATGTTCAAACATTGTTTCTCAGTCAGATCACATGCATAACGCAAAACCTTTCTGAAGATGTTACTATGACACTCACTCAGCTAGCTGAAATATGCCCAACTAATGAGACTTGTTAGTTAGCAAGCTAGCTAGCTACACTGTAACATTGCTACATTTACAGATCAACATAAACGAACAGTTGCTACAATTGTTGCAAAAATTATTTAATGATTGACATGAATCGAAAACAAGACCAATACAAAGAGTAAAATCCAAACCTTCAGCATTGTGATCTGTTGGAGGTTGTGTTTATATTGTTAATTAGTAGGCAGTCCCCCATAGAATTAGGAATTAGAATACTTTAATAATTTAATAATTGTAATTTAATAGGATCTCTATGTAGCCCCTCATCACATCCTCCTCCAACATGTTCCTTGGTCAAGTGAATCACTGATTGGGTGAGAATAAGTCTATTTGCCTTGTGTTGTTAACCTACTAGAAAACGCTAGAATATATTTTGTAATGGTTTAATGGCATTAGACCGTAAAAAACACTGGTTCACACAGATGTGGTTCGGTGAACTACGCTCGCCTAAGTAACCTTGTCTGAAACTTGAAGACTTGTGTTAGCTCCCCGTGCTAATTCCTAGGCTTTCGCACAGGGGCTAATACAGTCTTGTGGCACAATACCCAGCCAGTCACATTAGTCAACTAGGATTCATCTTGCATGTCACTATATATAGCCATGTTTTTCTTTTGACCTAAATAAAAATACGATTTCCCTACAAAAACGTAATTGAACTGTGACTTCTGTCTTCGCTACAGGTGATTCCTTCATTGTCAAGAGATGTCACTGAATGCTTAGAATACATGACCAAAAAAGTTCAGTCTATGTCATAGAGATAGATAGAGGACTTTTACCATTTTGAATTAGTCAACTGGGTGGGACTTCCTATGGGTTAAGGAAGGATCACATCATTCCATCCAGGTCACCAGGAGGGATCAGCCAATTAATTATACTCGTGAGCAAACATTCCATAACTGCAGGTGGCAGTAAATCGCCAACCTTGGCGTTATACCTGTTCAAACAACACACTCCAGGTGGCAGTATGCAAACTTTTAGTTTGATTGCCAACTGATAGAAGTAGTAGAATAAGAAAATTGCCTACTTCAAAATGGAGATGTCCTCAATGGTGCTGCCCGTGCTCTCACAGATGTCATAATGGGACAGATACATTGATGCGATGTCTATCTAAGTTTATGGTATATGTTGGGACGAATTTACTCACCGAGCTGCCGTCAGAGCTGGAGCTGAACAAAGCTTAGCTGCTCATACCTGTGCTGTGAGCTAAGGGATCCCTCTCATACACACAAACACGAGTTCCTAACAGTGTTTTTCTGTGGGGTCGATGAAAGTGTCTTTTAAAATGCTTTGCAGCTCTGATTGACTTTGATGTGCTGGGACAGAATCAGTGAAAACAGATGGCTGAGGAGAGGGCCCAACGATGAGGCCTGTCAATCTGGGGAGTCCTCTAAGAAAACAAAACCAGGAGCCCGCTCACGGAGAGGATGGAAGCCCTGCGCTTCTCAAGAGGCTGGCACATTCTTGAGATTAGAGAAAGAAAAGCGCAGACCACTGCCGTTAATGCCTCAGACAAATTATTAGTTAAGAATTCAAGCCTAGAGCCCAAATCAAAGGACTGCCGTCCACAATGCCAGACTATGGCCCTCGCTTGTGTTTTTAAGTAAATAATTGTGGTTAAAAGATATGGCAAAGATGGGGCTCAAGTCCTTCATAAAGCTCTGTATTCTTCCAACTGTCATCAGAATGGATTTCAGTACATGCTTTTATTTTCAACAGGGACACTGTTTGTCTTTTTCTTTATAAATACCATTTTAAAGAGCCTTTTATTTAACTTTCTCCCCCCCCCCCCCCCCCAACCTTTACCTGATCTGTGGTATTTTGAAAAGAAAAACTCACCTTGTCGTGCAAAGAGCTGACGACTTAAGAAAAAAAAAAAGTGGTCTGTAGTGGTAAAGATTTGAAAGAGATGCCTTTGCTGTACCTCTTTGCAAACTTTGTGAGCCAACGACAACTTGAAAATGAAAGAAATAAGGCCACTATTTATCTTTGTTGAAAAATAAATGCAGGGTATATACGTGATGTGATTAGTAACATGCCCAGAAGCCAGGAACACAAAAAAAAGATGTTATAATGGTTGATATGATATCACATGTTTATTCAATCACTGATATGCAATTATAAGGATTAATAAAAATGTATACAAATATTCACTGAAAGGATTACAAAAATCTGCTTATACAGCTATTCTCTCATATACCACTGTTAATTAATCAGTTTGATACAAGTTGTTTTACACCGTTGTTGATTAAAGTCAGGTGACCCATAATTTTCATATCAACTTTTCATTTTAGTCTTGTCAATCCCAATTGTCTCTCTAAAGGAAACAGTCTTCTCCTTTTCACATATTTTGACCTTGGTGTAGCGGGTGATGTTGGATGGAGTCAGACGCAGGAGAGGAAATCACAGAATAAATGGTTTAATCAATAAACAGAGGTACGCAGCAATGCGTAATACACACCAGTGCGGACAAACGGCGCACTGGGGAAATAAAGGCACATGGGTGAATAACCCAGCGATACACAATAGAATCGAGCTCCACTGAGCTATAATCTCCTCTACAATAAACAATCACACACATAGACAAGGGGGCAGAGGGAACACTTATACAGGTATTGACCAGGCTCCAGCAGCGCGCTGACACCGGCCTCGGGGACAGCCAGGAGGACACGGAGCAGGGCGAGCCGGATGGCGACGGTGGAAATTCCGCAACAGGGAGGGATCGAGGATATCCCTCACCGGGACACAGCACCGCTCCTCCGGACCGTACCCCTCCCACTCCACGAGATACTGAAGGCCCCCCACCCGACACCTCAAAACCAGGATGGAACGGACGGAGTACGCCAGGGCCCCCTTGATGTCCAGAGGGGGCGGAGGGACCTCCCGCACCACCACCGGCCTGAGGAGAGACACATGGAACGAGGGGTTAATACGGTAATCTGGAGGGAGTAGTAACCTATAGGTAACCTCGTTTATTCTCCTCAGGACTTTGAACGGCCCCACAAACCGCGGGCTCAGCTTCCGGCAGGGCAGGCGGAGGGGCAGATTCCGGGTCGAGAGCCAGACCCTATCACCCGGTACAAAGACCGGGGTCTCACTGCGGTGGTGGTCAGCGTTGGCCTTCTGGCGATGCCGAAACCAGTCATCCACCGCAGGAGCTTCGGTCTGGCTCTGATGCCACGGTGCCAGAACCGGCTGATAACCTAAAACACATTGGAATGGCGATAGGTTAGTGGAGGAGTGGCGGAGAGAGTTCTGGGCATATTCGGCCCATGGCAAGAACACCTACCACTCCCCCAGTCAATAGATCAGACGGTCACGGACAAGAGACGGCACATACCACGGCCCAGTTGGACACTGAGGTGGAGATGGCTCTGTGCGTAACGCCCGCTCTATGTCCGCGTCCATCGCCCACACTACCGGTGCCACAATGCAGGAGGCCGGAAGTATGGGGGTGTGGTCTATGGGCCTCTCCTCTGTGTCGTACAGCCGTGACAGTGCGTCTGCCTTCATGTTCTTAGTACCCGGTATGTAGGATAGAGTAAAATCAAACCGGGTGAACAACAGGGCCCACCTGGCCTGGCGAGGGTTCAGCCACTTCGCTGCCCGGATGTACTCCAGGTTACGGTGGTCAGTCCAGACGAGGAAAGGATGTTTCGCCCCCTCGAGCCAGTGCCTCCACACAGTCAGGGCTCTGACAACAGCCAACAGCTCCCGATCACCAACGTCATAGTTCTGCTCCGCCGGGCTGAGATTCTTGAAGAAGAATGCACAGGGGCAAAGCTTGGGTGGCGTGCCCGAGCGTTGAGATAGGACAGCTTCTATCCCTACCTCGGACGCATCCACCTCCACTACGAACGGTAGTGATGAATAGGGATGGGCCAGTACCGGGGCTGAGGTGAACAGAGCCCTCAGGTTACTGAAAGCCCTGTCATTCTCAGCAGACC